CCTGCAATTTTTATTGGCTCCGAGCCTAATTTTTGTAGATCCTTAGCCCGGGATTTTCTTGACATAAGGGAATCCGACGAGAAGACGTACCAAGAAATAATCAGTGATGTCGGGAATAATCAGTTTTTAGTAACCGAACACATCGGGAAGGATGAAGTATGGTATTCATATTGGTGTTGTATTCAATACAGTATTGTTAAAGCCCTACGTTTGTCCTTTTCAAGTCTAAATTTCATGATGATAACAAGGTCCGGCATTATATATTCATCAGCGTCACCCATCACTGCAAATTTTTTATAATGTATAAGAGCTTGTTGTTTGTTCTTTTCAAGTCCTGATAATAAGATCCGGCATTATATATTCATTAGCGTCACCTATCACTGCAGATTTTTGATAATGAATGAAAGCTTGTTGTTTGTCCTTTTCAAATACAATTGCATTATGATAGCAAGATCCGGCATTATATGTTCATCAACATCACCAGTCTTTACAGATTTTGATGATGAACGGAAACCTTATGTTCGTCCTTTTAAGTCCAATCTATGATGGTAATAAAATCCAGTATTGAATGTTCCATTGCGTCATCAATCTTTGCAATCAATAATGAATGAAACCTTACCTTCGACCTTTTCAAGTCCAATTTCATGATGATAACAAAATTCAGCATTATACATTCATCAACGCAACTCATCTCTGTAGATTTTTGATAATGAATGAAGCCTTGTGTTCATCCTTTTTAGACCATTTTTGTGAAGATAACAACATCCTGTATTATATGTTCCACCAGCATCGCCAATTTCTTTGTATTTTATAACAAATGAATACTTTACATTTATCCTTTTAACTAAATTCCATGCCATAACGATATTTTTCATGAGCGTCACCTATTTCTACAGGCTTTTTGAAAGTCCAATTCCGTGATGTAACAAGGTCCGTCAGCGGCATCACTTCTGCAGATTTTCGATAATGAATGAAAGCTATACATCCATTTTTTTCAAATCCATTTATATGCTGGTAACATTCTAGCATTAAATGTGCCGTATGTTCATGCTTTCGACTTCAATTCTATTAAAATAATGGTTTAGTTGTTAGTCTTGGGCTTATTACTTTAAATGATATCATGAAGTTAACTGGATTATAAGACCAAGTTTTATTGTAAGATCATCGAATTTAAGTAATTAATAAATGTATGTCACGTGATTAAGTGTAATTTGTATACGTAGAGATTACATATATCTATCTATATCAGGATATTTTTTCTTGGGCACAAACCTTTATTTAGGCTTGGTCCTCAAACTGTATATATTTTTATTCTCGTGATAAAATTATGAAATTTGCAAAGATACTATTATTAACTTTTCTTTGATAAATAGAACAAATCCCGTATCATGATGACTATCCTACCTACATTACTCCAGCCTCTTTCACTTTTGGCATTTGGAGTCTTATTCATTTCTTATTAGGATGCTTTTGTAATTATTTAAATTGTGTATACACTATTCTCTCCACTATATATTTCGTAATAGCTATCATCATGTGATATGTAATATTTCCTATAGTCATTTATCAATTTTTCACCCCTGCCGATGAAGTCGTATTCATTTCCATCTCACTTTGGAATACCGCTCTTTGGGCCAATGATCTCCTTGTTCTTTCATGGATTGCCATCGTCATTACTGCTTCCCATTTCAAACAGAAATATCCACCTCATAGTAATGGCGATAGATTTTTTACCCACTTTCCATTTTCTCTTTACCATTCTTGGATTGCTGTTGTCTTTATTTTAAGCACATTTGTCGCATTCACTCCTGAAAAGCTACCAGACGAAGCTCCAAGTGTTTAGTTAAAGTCTTGGTCTTTTTAGCTTTATTATTCCTCAGAGTGCATGTCATTTAATACCCAGAATTAATATTGCTGGTTCTCTTGTTATTGCATGGTCATTATTTGGTATTGCTGTTAGCCAAGAAGATCCCTTTTTCATTGGTCTGCTATTGCTATTGGCGCCACTTCAACACTGTACATCCTTAAACCTTTCGTCTTTAAGTACTTCTTCTATCGACCAACAGGAGAAAATGAAACTTTGTTGCCGGAACATAGGCGCTAATCATAAGCTACAACAATAATTGTATAATTTTATTCAATCAATTAACCAGTAGTATTTTATTTTTTAATGAATTTATTCGAACTATGCTATAGGCTTTTGCTCATATTATAATGGAGCTTTAAACAAAATGTATCCTTTTATTTTACTTGAAAATATCGCAATTAAATACTGTTTTCTTGAGAAAGTAATTTATTCATAACGATAACTAACACCTTAGTACCGCGATAAGTGTTCTTTTTGATCTTTCTGATCAAAGTACAGTTAAGGCATTTGTTTAGAAATTCACAAAGATAAACTGGTTTAATCTCATTTTCGTCCAATTCCGGGAAATTTTTGGGAGCGTAGATAGATTTATAATAATATGCTGTATATACAGTATATTATATCAGATATATATATCACATTATCCTAAAAGTAATTTTGGTCGGAAAATATTAAATATATATAGATATACAGTATATATTGTTTTAACACGCGCACGCATAATTGTATAAAGCCATGACTATAACCAGTCGATAAACTATTCAAAAGAGAAATATACCTAACAATATATACGTATAACTTTTAATCTTTATACAATATACAGTATAAATTTGTAAACTAAATAATCTATAATTATCAGTTATTTATTATTTGGAACAAAAAAAATTTGTTGTATCTAATGTTCTTAGTGTTTTCAAGAACATTTAAAAAAATTCGAGAACATTATATTTAAAAACTATGTTCTCTTTTGAGAACCAACTAAGAACATAAATTTATTGTCGCAGCTGATGCTGAAAACGGCTGATGAGGTCTCTATTTAGAACTATAAGACCTACTAAAACCCACCTATACACTTTAATTAATAAACCCTGACCCTAAACTCTACTCAAACTATTATATGAAGACTAAAAAAATGCGCCCCCAAAAATTATAAAATTTAATAATAAAATAATCAAAATTTTAGCATCAGCTGCAACATTTATTTTTTTTATTTTTTTTTATTATTAAGAACATTAAAATGTTTATAAGAATAATTTAGGGGAAATTACAAATAAGGGCCCAAAACTGAAAATACAGTAAGACCTCCATAAGTGCACTCCCCTCGGGACCATAGTAAAAAAAAAGCAAAATGTACACTTAAAGAGGGTGTGCATTTATAGAGAACAAAATATATAGCGCCCTTATAAGTTGGGGCCAAGCTATACCGTGCATTTAGAGAGAATTTACATAGGGCGTGCACTTATAGAGGTCTTACTGTAATTACAAATAAGGGCCCAAAATGAAAATAATTACAAATAGAGACCCGATTTTTACAAATAAGGGCCCAAATATATTGTTAGCTAAAAAAGTAAGTTTAAACATAATACGTAACATCTGATTAATTAGACGTTTTAGAATTTCATTATATCGAATATAAATTGCATTATCAGCGTAATTTTGAATGTTACTACACAAGCCTAATTACATGTTATAGAAACTATTTAATATTAAATAAAATACACATACTATTTTCTATTTCTAAGTCTTCGACTGCATGTATGCGAATTATGACCTTTTCATTACATTTTCCACAAGTAACCTGATTTTCTGGTGCCATTTCTCTATGACTACGCAACTGAGTTTTTCGTGGCCATCCTGCTTGTTTAATTGTAGGTGGCAGCAAAATTTCATTATCAAGAACACATAATTATGCATCAACTAGTTAATGATTTCATATAAGTTTGACAAGTTGGATCATGAGGAATCAACTTTATTATATGAATAAAACCTGTTAGCTGAAATAGTAAAAGGGCATGAACTATTTTCATTCGTAGGACAAGCATCAAGTTTGCTATTTCTAAACTTATAAGGTGAAGATGATTTGACAGAGTAACTGCAAGAAGTGAACGTTTTTCATATTAGTAAAAGTATTACCGATTTGTAATAATATGTCTAGTGAATTGAATGCGTTAAAAGAAGTACATACATTTTTTTATTACACATTTGAATTTATATTTAAATTACTAATTTATCATTATTCGAGTCATTGATCGACGAGACTTGATCATGCGCAAAATTTTTTGGGCCCTTATTTGTTATAATTTTCAAAAATCGGGCCTCTATTTTCATTTTGGGCCCTTTTTGGGCCCTTATTTGTAATTTCCCTAATAATTAAATTTCTGAAATTTAACACTGATCATGCCTGTCTTATATTGTATATAAAAAAATTGAACCTAGGCACAGTAGTCATTGGCTAGCAGAGAAATATATAAATTATGATAATATTACTCATAAATATTGACTCTTGTTCAGGTGATTCCGTAATTATAAAATCACGTTATATCAGGTATGATAAACGTAAAAAGCTGTTTGGTAGATAATTATGGTAATTAAACACAAAATTGATCGTCCATCTAAGATAAAAAATAGATTATAAAAAAATTCAGAACTGTTTGTTTCTGTTTTAAAAAATTTAAAAAATTTACAATGGCAACTTATGTACGAAGAAAAGCCATCAGCATAGACAGCATAGATAAAAATGAAAAAAAACGGGAACATGAAGTTAACAGTCCTGAAGTTATTACACCCATTCCTGTTAGACCTACTATATCTCAATTAATTGATATTCGACCAAGAGTTTCACCTCGTAATGTCCGTAGTTTTGCAAAAGTAAAAAAACCTAAATTTGACAATCCAGACAATATCTCAGTTAATGATGATAACAATTGTGATAACAGTCACTCTGTAGTCAAGAACTGCTCTTCTACGGTCAATAACAGTCAACACATAGAAAAAAATGCCGGTAATACCACTCACCAGGATACGGACGAATCACTTGCAAAGTTCAATGAAACGAGTTCTCCTCAAGAAATAACTCGAGTAACATTAACAAGCTTTGTTAAAGTTGGTGGAAACAAAGATAATCCTCTGACTACACATGACATTACTACACCTGATCCTACACAAGATACCACACATGATGCAACGGATAACAAGTCTAATCTTTCCAACATTATGGATAATACCAAAAACAATGATTTCAATACTATAATTAAAAATAATGATGGCTCCATATTGAATATAGACGAGGCCAAAGATAAAAGTAAAAATTTAAATGATACCCAAAATAAAGAGATGAATGGAATTGAATCTTCATTAAATGTTAAAAATGCCAAAAATCTATTTCCTTGTCCAGTGTGCAAACGAGGATTCTCTCGTAAATTCAACATGCAATCCCATCTCAAAACACATGACACTGACCGCGTAAAACCATATGCATGTACTTATGAATCATGCAATCTTCGTTTTACAAGAAAACACGATCTTAAACGTCATATTAACGGTATTCATAACGAACAAAGGGAATTTTTATGCCCTCAATGTAATAAAAATTTTTCTAGAAAGGATGCGTGGAAAAGGCATGAATTAACTTGTAGTTCCGTAGAAGAAACAAAGGATGCTGAAAAAAGGAAGAATATTACAAAATCGTTACCTCAATTATTACCTACTCCATTCACTAATAATTCAGATCATCCTCCACCACTAACTAAACGTAGAGGACGACCAAGAAAATTCGTAACTAACAATGATGCTGATTTAATTGATTCTACGAAAGAAGTTGCAGCTGAATTTGAAAAAAGGGGTAGACCAAAAAAAATACCTAAAATTGAAACCTCATCGATTGAATCCACCGAAGAAGCTAAAGTCGAAAAGAGAGAAGGACCAACAAATGATTCATCATCAGTAGAACGTATGAATGGAATTATTTTTAATCACACAAGTAGGGGTTGCGACCCAAACTCTTTTCTTTAGTAACGGCGCGTTTCTACTTAGTTTGGGTTTATTACCAAAACCCAATATGTATCCCATTTTGGTAAATAGAGTCAAATTCAAAAACCATCGATTCATTAAATAAAATATTCGTGCATTAATCTTTAAACATTTATTATAAAACACACTTATGGTGGTTTTGTACCTATCATATGTTTATTATTTTTCAAAGTTTTTGAATATAAAATTTTCACCACAAAATTTTCATGTTAGTTTTAGTGTTTAGGGGTAGGGTTTGGGAAGGGTTTTTTAGGGGCGTAGAGATATTCAACAAATTTTACTTTTAATCTGATATATCCAGATTTAAAGATTGATAACCTATCATGGATGGATCGATTAGTTAAGCCAATAACACGTAAAATTTTGGTTGAGTGTTGCCAATAAACAGTAAGCAGAATTCATATTCATCGTTAAAACTTATACCAGAAGAAACTGATTGTCAGATAATACGTATCAGGAACGAAGTGCAGCGAAGAATATGGTTATATTTAATGCGCATCTGATTAGACAATCCATTCTTATGATTTCACCTTATAATTTCTAAATATGGGGCCTCTCACAGAATATCTTGAAGAATTAGATTGATTAGAATAAAATTATCAAAATTAAAACCATATAACATCGAAGTATTCGATGTATGCATGAGTTTAAATGATGTAATAAGAAAAATGTAATCAAGAAACATAAAATTGTGATATGTGCTAGTTAAATACTTGTTATATACTTGTTCTATCTATATTATCAATTTACATATGTTATTTCTTTTCACTTGATTTGGGATCCGCATAAAAATGAATCTTGTTATAATGGTTTATTCTATCAATATCGTAACGGTAAAATTATATTAGAAACGAAGTGAACGAAGTGTTGGCTATATGAAAAGTGTGCAAATCAAGGCGACTTATAAGTAAATCGCGTTTTTGACGTCAAAATTTGTGATCCCTAAACGACCTCTTTGTTTGGGATGAATTCCAAACCTAATTTTGCATGTAAAAAATTTGGGGTTTCTAGACGTAATATAATTTATGACATTACGGCAAATTAGAGGCATTTTGCGAAACCTAGTAAATTGATTCTACTAGTAAATTTGGGTCGCAACCCTACACACAAGTGAACCTACACTTACTGAAACTCGAGTCAGTAGATAGTCAATTAATAAAATCCGATCCTATATCTACTGCAGATGTATCACCTATTAGTCACACAAATAGATCGATTGATTCTTTCAAAGAAAGTGACTTAATTTCTTTTAAATACCATGATACTTCTTCCTTTTAACGAAATAGACTACGCGATGTCCGAAGAAATGACTGAAGAAACTTTTGAAGACAAAAGTATCGAAAGAAGGATACTAATTTGTTTTTAGGTAACCACCGAAAATATAATATTATAAAATTTATTTGTATATAATTTGTAATTGTAAATAATCTTATTGATTTTATCTTCGTTTCCTAAATTAGTAGAGTGATTTTTAAAAAGTCTTTCACACCAGGCACTCATATGATCACATGCTCTCTTTATATTAAAATAAGAAAATTTCGTACGCGATCCGCACATCGAATTTTTACACTGTTTCACATCCTTTAAATTCTTAGTCGTTTAAGATATTTACTTATCTCAATATTAGAACGATAAAATTGTGCATAAAACAATATAAAGTTTTTTAGAGAATGTTGGTTTAATATCAAAGACAAATTATTAGGCATAATCAATTTTCTTGCGACATTGCATAAACTCAGTTTGATTTAAATAAAATTTTATCTTGTAAAGATCTTATTGCAGAATTAGGATTAACTATCACGTTCTGATACATTTTATAAGAGTAAATCTGGTGTTATAGGAAAAATGACCACGTGGTCATGCTCGTGAGTGATGCCAAATTTACATAATACGTTAAACAATTAAAATGATTACGTATATCTAAATAGGTGTTTTCTCCTAAATTTTGAATAAATTAACATATTAATGAATTCAAGTTTTAAATTTCTTGAAAGCGTGATAATCATAATTATTAATAGATACCGGAAGTTCTTTACTCTGTATTCGAAAATAGCGTTCAAGAAGTCCAAGATCATATAATTGATTTCGCATTAGGATATTAATGACGGTACCTGGAGAGCCATACCCACCACAACAGCAGATCCTATACGTAGAATTTGCAAGCATTAAGTATGTAGATCTATGTCTATATATACATATATATATAAAATAGTAAACTTACCGATCATGATAATCTTCTTTCTTGTATGGTAAATCAAAATGAATACTATATTTAACTGGTTTAAATGAAAGCACCGCTGCAAAGCTATCCGTCGTGACAACAATTGCTGGACTTGATGATTGCCAAAATGATTTGATAATCTCATGTCGCTCAGTTTGGTTTGTCATAGAATGCTGATATATACTTTATTTTGTAAGCGTATTTTTTTTAAAAAAAATAAAATTGTTACTGGCTAGCACCATTCAACTTACCAATGGGAACACTTCAATATTTTCAAATAATGCAGATAATTTATCGGCCAACCAATCGACCCTTTCTCCATTGTCACAAAAGATAATTGACTTCCCCATATCAGATGTTTTGTAAAGTTCACAAAGAGAGTTAAGTTTCAACTCTTCCTTTTCTACAAGTGTATAAAATAGTTCTAATCCTTCACTCATGTGTACATCGGAGAGGATGATATAGGCATTCGGTGTTAATATTCGTTTGATGTCGGCAAGAGTGAAAGTTGTGGCTGTAGTCATGAAAACTCTTTGTGCTCTACTTGGTGAACGATGAATGATATCCAAAGCCTGCGTACGAAATGTGCTATTAAACATAATACAGGAATCTTCGACAACAACCATTTTGACGTGACTGATATCAAATCCCCTTCGTTCACTCATTAAATCGATTAAACGGCCTTTCTTGAGTCGAATCACGTGAATAAAAAAAGGCAATTAATGAATACTGTTAAACAATTATAAAAAAATATATATTTGAAACGTTTGTATGGGTAACAAACCTGGAGTTCCAATGATTATTTGTTGACCCACACTTTTCAATTTTTCAATATCTTGCCTCACAGGATAACCACCAACGCAAGCTGACCAGGTAATTTGTCGATGTTTAGCCATTACTTGGATAAGATCTTGAATGGCAAAGCATAAATCTTTAGAATGCACAAGAACAATTCCTTGGCAAAAAGTATCACGTGGGTCTACATGTTGAAGAAGACCGATCAAATAAGTTAAAGTTCTTTCTTCGGAACGAGGCACCTGAACAATGACGTCACGACGTGTTAAGATCGCTTTGATTGCGCGTTTCTGGATAGAAGTTGGTTGATCATGCCTGACATTACCAAAATGGGTAACGTATAAATTGGTTGTACTTTTATTTTCATTGATAGATTAAAGTTCAAAACCTACCCCAGAGCACGAATTCCTCGTAATAATTCTGATCTTAATTTCATTTCCTCAAAAGTGGATACAGATAATTTATAATTATCCTGCAACGTTTCACGTGGATAAACATTTCCAGATTTCTTATCTGGCTCCCTACTGCCACTTCTATAAATTGCTCTATTTATCTAAAAAAATACAAGAGTAATTTTAGTTCATAATAAAACTAATATTATCGTTTATGTATTCAAAAAAAAAATATTTAAAAAAATATTTGAAAAAAAATAAAATACTTTATTTCGCGCTGGCGCTCTTGGTAGAGGCTGTGGTTTAGGCTGTGCAGGTGCTACCCCATCCCGAATAAGCGCGTTATCCTGCTCTTGTATTTTTTGGGGTTGGTTCTCTGGCGTAGATTTTTGATCAATTTCAGCCTCGTTAGCCTCATTAGATGAGGATTCGCCTTGACTTTGACTAGTAACCTGTTTTTTCCTTGCTCTTCTAGATTTTCTTCTCTCAGCGACGGACATCCTTTTTTTAGTTTTATCACTTGATTCACCTAAATTATTTTGAGACTCACTACTAACAACCTTTATACTGCTTAAGTCTTTTTCAGAAAGTTGTTTAATATTTGATAAATCATTAATAGGTTCGTTAGTTGATCCTATCGTTTCTACTGTAGGAGACGTTGGTGATATAGATAAACCGGAAACCCCATTAGTTACAACTTTTTGAGAGTCTTTCCTTTCGGGAGGTACAAGAGCAGAAATAGCTTCAGTTAACTTTGCTATTTTAACTTGGATATCAGGTAAAACGGCTAACGAAGACTGAATATCTTGGATGGCTTTTAATAAATCAGGAGTTTCCGTCATAACTTTTTTTATTTTCTTTTGGACTTTATGGAGAAAAAAAAAAAAAAAAAAAAACGAGAAAAAAATATATATATAGATTAATAATCTTTTTAAGAATTATATAAAAATGTACAACATATTTATATATTTTTTTATTAAATTATATATCTTGTGACTGCTGATATGACAGCTTCTTTAAACAATGACATAACCATGACGCGATGACTGCATTTATAGTTTGATACTATGGTGATAATAATACCTTCATTTATCAAAACTCTCATTACTTTCTCTAATAGAAATCGCCGGAGTTACGCACAATTTATTAATAATGTACTAACAAATTTTTGATGTATCACATGACCACCAGTTTGAAGGTATGAAGTTTTTGATTAATACAGTATAATACAACAGTAAATTATTCTACGTACGTATTATCGGTATCGTTATTGTTATCTTAATACTTTTATTTATATACGTATACATATATAGAAACAATTAATTAAGGTTAGGTTTGACTACTATCAACTATATAAACTATACGTATAAACTATATAGCGTAGAAAGCCAATTTTTAATAATAATGGTCCAATTGTCTTAAATGTAGATCTCCATGCAAGTACTAAAATTTCATTTTTATACATTTTTTAAGATTAATATCAGAAATAATTTTGTGTAATACACGAAGAATTTGAATATTAAATATATAGGATTGAAACAAAAAATTTTACCTGTATACACGATTATAACCCATATCATGTTAAATTTTACTCCGGACTGATTAGAAACCATACAGGGTTGTTAGTCCGTGGTGAGTTACCATGGTAAGTTACCGATAAGTTACCATGGTAAAGGCTTGAAAAGTATGGCCATTATCGGAAAGTTTCATGATGATAGACGTTACTTCATTAAGTTACTTCAGCGGTAACTTACCATTAACGTAACTTACCGCGCAAAATTTTACAGCCCTGTGGAACCATATTAAAAATTGTCCCATGGTTTCGGGATGAATTATGTTGGTTAGGCAAAAATTATAGCAAAAATTTCGAAATCACGTTATATCAATAATTTGTAATGAAAAAAAAATTTTTACGAATGAAAGAAAAAATAACAGATAAGCATAATTTAAATGTTTGTACAGTATGTGTAAAATATTTGCAAATAATACATTTTTATTCATTAAATATTTTAATACATAACGATAATATTTATCTGTAAGGCATATTTGACTCACAATAATTGCCCAAATTGCATCAAATAGATCTTTAACGAATGTCGTGTATCAATAGTTACAAAAGAATTTATTTAAAGCATTTTTTATATTAAACTTGCTGAAGAAATTTTTTAGATACGTATTAATGTAATAAATTAAAGGAATTATATAATAAGCACTGAGAATTAATAATTTATACACAATCAAAAATCCTTACACTCGAGATACACGTTTATTGATGTTAGCACAGTGTGTTGCCAGATAGCATGAACATGTGGTACCACATATATCTTTATTCTTTCACAAACTTCAAATAACCTCAAATCCACGTGTGCGATAGTAATTGAACCAGAAAAGTACATTGTAATTTTTTGTTAGTGAAATACGCTACATTCTTAAAATTTTAAAGCATGAACAATAAGAAAAAAATCAGGTAATTCATAAAACAGATATATAGTTGATTATTAAAATTAATGATTATATTTTAATCTGCTCGTTTATTGATATTACATAATTACCGAGGTTAAATGTATAATTATTTGATTGGTTAATTGTACACTTGTTTATTAAATACTATATTTATATAATTTATATATCTGTATTATTAGTACACAATTCTTCAAAAGAAAAATTCTCACGCGAAAAATTTCCTGTTGTAATTATGAATATCGGGAATAACAGAAATAGCAAACATGGAAATGACACTGACGATAAAAAATACTCGTGTGGTTGAGCCCATGGCAAAAGAGAGTATTAATAGGTTCGTAGTAATAAAGAAAACGTCGTGTATTTTGACAGCAGTTCGTGATGAGCGTAACAAAGGATTATGTATAACTGACAAAATGCATCCTGTAATAGAAGTGCTTAAGTCAGTTATTCGAGTTTATGCCTTTTTAATTAACGTTAATTCAGTCGAAATGCATAAAGATCTTTTGTGTTTAAGCTATGGTTATGATTTTTATCGCCAATACCTTTACATTCGCGTTGATTTTGGATGTTAGTTTTATAAGTCACTCTCAAGTTATCGGTTTTATTATCAAGAATTCAATATACGTGAGTTTTATTAGTAGATTCACCATATCGAAAGAATTTTATGCATTGAATATACCTTTAAATTTAAATTTTCACTTTATCGAAAGTTCACTGTAATGGAGTTTAGAACCGGATCCTGGCTGATCATTATTGGCTTAGCCGGCTTAGGGTGTTTCCTCAATAAATTCAAGAAATTTGATTGGTCTGTCTGAACAAATTGAGAGAGAGCAATGTTATAGTAGGAATCATAAGTATCCCACCCTCTCTAACTTTTTGAATAAAAAAGCTAAAGCTTTAAAATTTTTACAGTAAATAGATCAGTGGCAAATTGTTATATCTTTTAATTACTGCAATAAAAGTTAGATGAAAGCTAAATAAAATTTTAGCCAATTTAGATACTAAAAACTAATTGAATTTAATTAAAAATTTATAAAAAATTAGAATTAAATTTAAAAACTTAAAAATTAACAGGATTAAACTTCAAGTATTTTATAGTATTGACAAAAAATTTGATTTAATTTAATAAAATAGTTACTAAAAAATTAATTTTTAAAGTAATTTTACTATTTTAAAAATTATATGTGTTGTGTAATTAGGTTTTTAAAATTTTAGTAAATAACTTTAAAAACTAAGAAAACTAATATTTATTATATAAATATAGCCTACTATTCTTTTTTATTTTTTATTAAAATTTCTGACAAACAAATCTTTTGTGACTATTATTATATTATAAAAAGAGTTGAAGCCTCTTTTAGAGTCAATTATTTGACAATTACAAATTTTAATAGAATTAAAAAATATAATTGTTAAAATTAATTATATTAGATGTCAAATAATTGATTCTGGAGAAGGTTATATTTATATAATAAGTGTTAGTTCTCTAATTTTAACAACTATCTCATTAAATTTATTTTAATACAGTATTATAAAGTAAATTAGTAGTCTTGACAGGCTATAAGAACTGTTCAATAAAGTATTAATAAACTTAATTGCAAAATAAATTAGTATAGAGATAAAATCTTACTATAGCAAATCACACATAGATATTCAATAAACAACTAGGTAAACCAATTAGATATCAAAAGAAATAGCCTTTTGAAAAATTTTAATATCTTAAATTATAATATTATAAAGCCTAATAAAGTAGAGGCAAGACTGCAGAATTTATATATAAAAAAAAAATACAGTATTATAAAAAGAATTTTTCTGAATATATCTATAAACAACTCTTTTTGATAATCACTCGTACCTAAAATTTAACAAACAGAAAACAGAACTTTTGTTGGAGAGATGTGGCCTTCTTGCAGTTTGTCTAGAGGTTAACTGCTTTTCTAAAGAACTTCTCTAAAGTAGATGTTTGGCATGCAAGCCAGGAGCATTATTATACAAGATAACTAGCAAGTAGTGCTCTTGTATAAAAAATATATAAAAAATTTTAGTAAAGTGCGGCAGTGAACTCACTCATTTTCATTGATGAAGTAAGTTGGCTATTACTTCAAAGAAGAACACAGGGGAAACAACAAAGTTCCAGTGGTTCAACACACTCTTTAGAAATTTTAGAAGTACCCACAACCATATACCTACAAACATATTCTTGTAGTTTTAAAATTTTTTTTAAAAATTTCAGCAAAAAAAATAAGAAAATCAGCATACCCTCTCCAAAAGATTAGCAGTGTTTACTCTTTCCAAATTAGAACACGTTTACCGAAATAAAATCTCCCACGAGCTTATTTGAATTCTGCTTTGCCAAATAAACAATAACGGCAGTACTGTTTACAGTATAAGGAATCAGAAAAATCATATATAGAAATTTTTTAACGTTAGATGTTTTTTTTCTTTTTATTTCTTTTAGTATATATAGTGTTAGATTAGATTTTTTTTTATGCAACATTATATAATTTTTATAGCCTAATACAGACAATAATAGTGTCATCATAGCTGTCTTTTTTTTGGCCTTTTTCTTTTTGTTTCCTTTTTACTTTGTTTTTTTTTAGTTTTGTTTAGTTTAGACTTTTCCTCTTTTTTAGTTTTTCTTTTATTTTGTATTTGTTTTTTTTCTTTTGTTTTTCGTTGGTAGTTCTTTTATCTAGGAGGCTAGGAAAAGAAAGTTGAAAAAGAAGGCAGTTATAATGGGCTGGTGAACCAGATCAGTGATCTGGGATAGGTTGGTTGAAGTGAAATAAGCTAAATCTAACCGGGAAAATTAAACTCATCTTTGGCAGATTATACATAGGTCCAATTAGAAACTGGGTGAGCCACATTCCAGATTTTTTGCTATAAAGCATGATGTAATTCGAACAATTTCTTTAGGAAATGTAGTACCTTATCAATAAAGCAGGCATATAATATGGCCATCAAATTTTTTTTTTAAAAAAAAAAAAAAAAAAAAGAATTTTTCTAAATAAATATAGAGTATTTATATATGAGTATTAATAGTTAATTTGCAAATTTGTTAACATGCTAATTAAAATAATTTTTACAATAAAAAAATTAATACCTTGATTATAGTTAAAGTAAAAGTAGGTTTAAAATAGAGGCAATACCAAAATTTTACAATGAGTTTTTTTGTTAAAAGCCAAAACTAGTTTAATTGTCAAAATTTTGAGATATCAATTAGTTTTTATATTACCTATATATATATACTCATGTACAAATAGAAATTGTCAAATATTATAAAAATTCTTAAATCTTAATATAAATTTTTTTTTATTTTGATAATTACATACTAATTTATTATAAAACTCTTACTAATTACAATATTATATTAAATAAATAC